CATGGCAGTGCCAGCCCTCCCCCCAGGTTCCCCCTGTCTGTTTCCTGGCAGACAAGTGGGCGTGGACACGCAGTCACCCGTCGGGAGTCAAACCCCCGCCCAGGTCTGGCTTCTCGGTCGCAATGGCCCCGAACCAGCAGGTGCTGTTCTTCGGTGGGGTGTGTGACGAGGAGGAGGAGAGCCTGGAGGGGGACTTCTTCAACGACCTCTATGTCTTCGACGGCGCCAAGAACCGCTGGTTCCCCGGGCAGCTCAAGGTGTGGCCACGGGAACATCTGACATGGGCAGGGCCTCCCGTCTCCCTTGTGACAGCTCTGCTGGCTGCCGTGGCAAGCCCACGGACTACTGCACGGTCACTGGTGCTCGGTGCCCACACATGTCTGATGGGGGCTGTCCTGTGGGGGCCTCGGGCAGGCATGGGCGCTGGCATCTCCTGGAACTCCTCGCCCACCCATCCTGAGCTTAGCCTCCCAGGCCTCTTCCCTGGCAGCTGCAAGGCCTGGGCACCACACGGTCCCCACCTGCACGCTCCTTCCGCTGCAGGAGCCCAAGGCCGAGAAGCGGCGGCGGCGACGGGGCAGGAGGGCAGAGCCCCCAGAGGACAAGCAGCAAGCACCCGCAGAGCCCCCACCACAGGGGCCCCTGGAGGTCATCCGAGAGGTGGTCTCTGAGGACGGGACCGTGGTCACCATCAAGCAGGTGCTCCCGGCATCAGGCGCGCCAGGCAGCCCGCCGTCAGAGGGTGAGGATGACCCCGAGGAGCCTGCGGCCCCCAAGGTGGCGCCCAGTCCACGCTCCAACGCCATGCTGGCCGTGAAGCAGGGACTGCTCTATGTCTACGGGGGCATGTTTGAGGCCGGAGACCGGCAGGTCACCCTCCACGACCTCTACTGCCTTGACCTGCACAGGATGGAGGGCTGGAAGGCCCTGCTGGAGATGGACCCCGGTGAGTCTGGGGCGTCCTGCTGGGTGGGGACCTGTGCCGGCCATAGGCCCAGGGACAAGCCACTTACTTCTCTGAGGATCTCGGCTGCACTGACGGCTGTGTGTGCTTGCCTCTGAAGACACCCAGGAGTGGCTGGAGGAGACCGACTCAGAGGGGGACACAGGAGACGGGGAGGAGGAGGACTCTGGCGAGGACAGCAGTACGGAGGAGGGTGCAGGTAACATGGCAGAGCAGGGTGGGGCACCCCAGTGAGGGAGGTGCAGCTGTGTGGTGAGGGGCTCAGGTAACTGAATGAGGAGAACGGTGGTGATTGAGGTGGGCGGGAAAGTGTGTGCACGGGCTGCGGTCGGTTGGTCTGTTGTCCTCCTGTGGGCCAGCTCTGCAGGAGCAGGTGACGGGAGCCCTTGCCCGCCTGCGCTGGCGGCTGGTGCAACGTGTGCGTTGAGCTCCAACACTGATGCTGGGTCTCCTTGGTCCTTGTGGGTCCCGGGTGCTTGAGCTGGGGGCCTTGTGCTAAGCATGTCTCCTGGCCCCCTTCCTGCCAGCAGAGGCGGCACTCCCCCACCATGGAGCAGGCAGCGAGCTGCTCGGACTACCCAGCACAGGTGAAGCGTAACGGAGGCCAGGGCCACGGTGTTTTCCTGTGACTTGGTCCCAAATGCTCCCCCAGACAGACGTCGGAGTGAGTGGCATGGTGGCACCAGGAACAGCACTAGGAGTTTGGAACATGAGCAGGACTGGCAGGTCTTGAAGAGTACCATCTCCTGGACCCAGGACCCAGCGCAGCATCACTTGGAGCTCAGCCACTTCAGCACCCGGGCCTGCCCTGGCCTAGTCCCCCACGTGCCACCAATAAAGTTTCCTCCACCTGCCTCCCTTCTCCTGGCCCTGCCGCTGTGCGTCCGGGCTCTGGGCAGGGAGGCCATTCTAGCCCTTCCCTCTGCCCTTGAGCTGGTCCCCATACGGCCTGCCCTGCTCAGCAGGACCCTGGGGGAGCTGTGAGCTGTGAGCACCAGCCCGTCCAGGGCTCAGGGCCAGAGTAGATTCCCTTTCTCTCGCTGGGTCTGAAGTCAGGCCTGGTTCTGCCAGGCCGCCCTTCCTGCTCACCTTCCCCTGAGCTCATGCCTGTTCTCAGCCAGGCCCACTGACCACCATCAAGTTCACTGAAAAGCAGCCTTTAGCCAAAGCCAGGGACGAGTGAGTGTGCCCACTTCATGGCCTGGAGGGCTCAGGCCTGTGGAAACCAGGACAGGGACAAGGAGTCCCTGAGGGCCACCATCACCGGTGCAGGCTCTGATGGGACGGCTCCCAGACAGCCAGCCCTGCCCTCTGTAAGTGGCCCATAAGATGCCCCCTGGGACTGGGCGAGGACCAGCCTGAAACGGGGACTCTTTTTCTCAGCTGTCTATGTCTGATGACATTTAATCAACCAAGTTGGAAGAGCCCTTTCATAAAATCCCAACAATTGAAAGTGATTGGAAACCCCAGCTGCAGAGGAGCAGATACAGCCTGGCCCAGTCACCTGGTGGGCTGTTAACACAGCCTCAAACACGACGACGGCTGTCGAGTCCAGGGAGACACCGAGGAAACCAGAGAAGGTGCGGCCAAGGAAGTTGGTTTCAAAGGGGCACAGCCCACAGGGTTGCCGGTGTAGGGAGACCAGGAAGTTCCTCAGCCCGGCGGCCTTAGGCCGGTGGCTTCTGCAGTTGAGCAGGCTCAGGGGTCCTCTGTGCCATGGATGACAGCCACGAGGTTCCGACCCAGCAACCACGTGGGGCAGGATGGGACTGTTCCCCGGCTTCTGAGGCTGGGAGTCAGGAGCAGACAGCCCCTTTGTCCTGCAGAGTGGCTGGTGGGTTTGAACTACTGACTGGCGTTAGCAGTGTTCCCGGCCCACTGTACGTGGGAGGGCTCCCTCCTGTATGCTGGTGATAAAGCCCGAGAATCCGCAGGGAGGGCTAAAGAACCTTCCAGGCCCGCCCTGTGCACCAGAGGGCTCAGTAGCAGACCTGGTGCGGCCAGCTGCCCGGAGTCCCTTTGGGAGAGGGGCTGTGCCACTGCTCCCCTGCCCTGGCCCCTCCCTCTGTGCCTCCACCTCTTACAGCAACTGAGGCAGGCGACAGGCTGAGCCCGGAGAGGTCCATGTGCCCAGGGAGTGGCGTGTCAGTCTGCAGCTCAGCCCACCTGTGTCCTCCAGGAAGGCCACCATCCCTGTGTGCCGGTGAGGGAGGTGCCCAGCAAGGGGATGACATTCAGAGCTGGGGTGGGGGGACATCTACCCAGGTCTCCTGGACCTGAGTCAATGAGAAATGAGCCCGATCCTTTCACAGCTGCCTGTTAGTGGCACCCTCACGCCCCGCAGGTGAGGGCCAGAACGGGGTCCGTGGTCTGGTGCCAGCTGGCAGGTTGTGCTGGGGCAGGGTGGGGGCCGGCAGACCACAGCAATAGTCACCTCTCAAGGAGCCACGTGTGTGTTTATTGAACGAGCCTTGGCTTGGCTGCTGCACACAGACCTGGTACCTCTCGCTGCCTCATGTAAACACGCCACCGCTTCGTCGGGGCTGCAGTGTGCCATGCAATTCCCGGAGTGCACAAAAGGAGGCTCTGCTCTGTATACCACATGCCCGCTCCCCTCCCCCAAATCCCACCGAACGTTGAGAAGGACCTGGGCGTGGGGTCTAGCAGAAAAAAAGGGGAAGGAAAAAAAATCGGGATGTCCCTGGAACATGCTCTAATCTGTAGTTTATTTCCGGTTAAAAAAGAGCAATCCAGGGCAGTTAGTAAAGACACCTGCTCAGAGGCAGCATCGCGAGACATAAGCAAAGCAAGGCAGAGTCCCCGATGGGTTGGTCCCGAGAACCGAGGCGTGACCGCAGGGACTGTCCCCTGGTGCACGCGGGCACACCCACACAGCGGCCAGGCCTCGGGGCGCTCGGCCGCCACGGAACCACGAGGCAGGGACGGCAGGAACTCGAGGTGCCAACTTGCTGGCCTCGCAGGAAGGAGGTGGGGAAGATACGCAACAATTGCTTAAGAATTTCCAAGCCCCCGAGTTAGAACCATGTCCCTGTCCCCCGGCCCAGACCAGCTTTGGAGGAGAAAGGAGCAGGAGGGGGAGGCCTCCGGAAGGTATCTGTCGGGGCAGGGGCAGGGATATCAACAGCAATGGGGCTGTCACCACCAGCCACGTCTTATCGGGGATGTGGCAAAAGCCCGAGTGAGCATCCCGCATGCAAAGTGCAAAGAGGTCACACGTGGAGCCCTGCAAAGGCCCCCCATCCCCCACCTGGCCACCTGGCCCTGGCTCCCATCTGCCTCTCAGACCTGCCAGGGTGGCCCCGGGTCGGCACCGCAGCTTCTCAAGAGACGAGGGAGGCACACAGGAGTGGGGACAGGACACTGCCTTATTAGACAAGTGTGGGCTCCAGCTTCTCCAGGAAGCTCAGGGACAGTGCTGAGGAGTGGGCGGGCCCCTCTGACTGCTCGGAGCATGTGCAGTGCAGTCAGTGGAGAGGCCGGGCTGAGGCAGCCAGAGAGGGTGCCTCCCCTGCTCCACACCCTTCCCTGCCCTGGTCACCAGAACCAGCTTGCCCCTCCCCAACGGTGAAGGGTGCGGCCCCCCTGGGCAGGTGAGTGCTCCTCCACATTCTGAACCTAGACACGGGGTGGCACTATGGCCGATCCACCAGGCCCCCTCTGCCCTATGTCAAGCTGCGAGGTCAGCAAGGCGGCCCCCATCTGCCATGCCACACAGCATCGTGCTGCACAAGCAAAGAATTTTGGCTAAAATCCAAAAAACATTACCCAGAAAAAAAGGCAAACTGTGAGTAATCCCCAGTCACACTGTTCTTCCACGAAGACCTAGAAGTCATCATTACTCTGAGTGGACGTCCCCCCCCACTCTGTCAGCTGGCTGTCCCCCACTTTAGAACACACTGTTTTTTGCTAACGTGACCACCTTATCAGATGAAGAAGTTAATAAACAGGATGGCGACTCCGATGTTCAGCAGGATCACCATGACCACCAGGATCGGCGCCGAGCCCTAGGACAGAGGAGAAGGGGTGAGCACTCCGCAGGGCTGTATCACCCTGGACCCGTCCTACCTGGTACCCTGAGACCCAGGCGCCACCCAGAGGAGCCCAGGGACATGATCCCAGTGACCTGTCACCCAAAGTCAGTTAGGAAACCCTGCAGGGCATGCGGTTCTCCGGCTCCACCAGCTGGAAATTCCCGAAGGGGTGGACGTCGTGGACATGTGGGCACAGGGGAGAGAGGAAGACAGTGTGCAGGCCCAGGGGGCTCAGACTGTGGCCACGCCCCCTCTGCCTGCAACAGACCACGCTGCCTGCCTTCACTGCCTTCACTGGGGCTCTCCCTCAGGACCCGACCAGCAGCTGAGCAGGCCATTTCTCTGTCTGAAGGTTGGGGGGCACCCCGAGGGGAAGCAGTCCCTTCTCCCTGCCTGCAAGCCTTGACCTAAGAGCTTCCATTTACAGAGTGTCCTGCAGCTGCCCTGTCCTGCTGGCCTTCAGTGGTGGCAGATGGAGGCCGCCTGACGGTGCTGGGCAGCAGGTCACCGGGGCAGGGGCAGCCGGGAGGGACGGAGCTTGTCCCAGCACCACTACACTGGGTTTGTGGGCGGTCATAGGGGCTGTGGCTGGGGGACACTGGTTGGAGTTGGGGTGCCCTATGTGGATACTGATCTCAGGGGGAGTCCCTTCTACATGGAGCCTGCTGAGACTCCTCCCCGAGGGGGGCAGTTCTGGCTGGGGGCCAGGAAGAGGCGGTCTTGAGCGAACTGGGGGCATGTGTTCCGGGTGTGTGGGGCAGGGGTGATAGTCATTCACAGGAGCATGTGCTGGCCGGGCCTGATGCCTTGAGCCGGCTCTGGGCCTCAGTACTGCTGACCGCCGCCTCTCCCCATCACCAGAGCCTCACCCATAACTCACAGCAGTCCATCACAACTCTGAGGGCCCCTTGGGGCCTGGTCATCACTTGTGACTTGTATCCTTGTGGAAAGTGAGGCCAGACCAGCTCATGGGGGCCATGGGCCAGCAAGCCCAGTGTTTCCAGAAAGCAGCCCCCACCCCCTCACCAAGGAATGGGGCCCCAAGTTCTTGAGCCACAGACCTGCTGGTAGCAGCCTCCCTGCTGCTCAGGGGGCTGTCTCTGCCCAGGTTCCCTCTGCTGCCTGGACCAGGGTGCTGACCCAACTGTCCGACAGAGAGCAAGGCCCAGCTCGGCCACCAGAGCCAGGGGACACCTTGGAGCTCAGAATGAGAGCAAGCTGGCTACTGTCACCGGGTAGGGGAGGGCCCTCGGCGTGGGCACAGCTCTGAGGACCACCTACACCCAACTACAGCCAACATGCACCCCAACTGGAAAGCAGGCCAAGGATCGGCAGGGGGCCTCCCACCTGGCTGCTCACACCGCACAGGTGACCACCTGAGTGGAAGGTCACCTGAGTCCAAGGGCAGCACCACACTAACCTCCGGGTTGGAGGCCACCGCAGTGCCAGCATGCCCTCAGAGGGCTTGGCCTGGATCCCATCCCTCAGCCCAGCCCCCTCACCACTCCTAAAGACCCATCACACACTAGGGCACAGCGTGCAGGTACACCCACACACGTATTCTGCCTGCTCCGACAAGGACATCTGTCTAGCTGGAAGTGCAGGCTGGCACTTTGGTCCCCAGGAACTTGGGCTGCTGTCTGTGCCCTGCCTTTAGGATGCTCCACAGGCCAGGCCAGAGGGC